TCTTGTGTCTATCAGAATTCTCTTTTGACTACTGCTAAAAGAGCTCTTTCCAAAACCCAAAAAAGGACCATTTTTAGCAATATATCACATGGAATATCTCACTTTTTTGTTAAGGCATTTAAACATAGATAATTTATTCCTTGAAATGTTATTTCACAAAAGGTTAGCATGAATTAGGAGAGGAAGGAGCCGTTCCTTGTTTATTGGCCTGATTCTTTCAGGACTAAAGCGCTTAGAAGAATTTTGCTCGTATTCGGGCCCTGAGTATTACCCAGATCATTTGAATACCAACCGGCCAAGAAGAGAACAGAGAAAAGTTTGGCACTTCAGTCATCAAGAATATAAAAGCTTGGCAACTTTAATTTGAAGTTCTTAATGTATGTGTATGCTGTTATCTTGTGAAATAGAATGAAAGTATGATGCTAGAGTTTCTTTTTTCCTTACGGAAAAATGAACAGAGGTCGCTAGTTTTCTCTTCTTATTGGGAGTTGCTGTGGTAGATGATATTGTCCCAAAATGGCACAATCATTATTGTTGGTCCCACATGCTCTTCCACAACCTCACTACCCCCCATCAAGAAGTGAGGTCTATTTCTCCTTCTCTTGAAACTAGACAGGCTTTTGTGAGACTCTCCACAAACCAAATGCAGGCAAGTGATAATATTTCAGAGTGCATGGCTTCTGAAGTTGGGTTATAAGAATGATAAGGCTTCTTTCTGGCTTTCTCTCATTTGGGACTCTTGTCCTTGGAACCTAAACACCATGCTGTGAAAAAAACAAGCATCCACATGGAACAGCCACATCTAGGTGTTCAGGCCACAGCCGAGCTTTCAGCTGTGCTGTCAGCCAACTCTCAACGTGAACCACCAAACATGTGAATGATGGAGTCTTCAGACAATTTCTAGTCCTCAGCCTTCGTGCCACTCCATTTGATGCTAAGTGGATTAAAGATGACATGTCCCCACTGGGTCCTGCCTACATTGCAGATTCACGAGAAAATGAGTATTTGGGGTGGTTTTTTATGGAGCAATAGATAAATGGAAGAGTGCATGCTCCAGAAAAAAAAAAAAAAATCACAACAGCGTTTCATATAATTACAATAAGAGAAAAGAAAAAATCTATTGCACATGTACAAAATAGTTCTGAGAGCTAGACCTCATAAATGTCTAAAATTCATCAGAAACTTTTCTGTTAGACAAGATAAGGAAAAATTGCCATCTTTGAACATACTTTTTTTGCTTTTCACAAGTGCCCAGTAGCATCTTAGAGGATCTTCACAACTTCCACTTACCAAAGTCCTAATTCTGTCAAGCCTTTTTGGATTTCCTGTAAGTCCTTGTTTGTAACCAGGATAAGAAATAGTATTTCCAAGAAGATTATTGATTTTTGATGCCCTTTCTGGAAGATCAGCACTGAAAGTTCCCGATGGAGATCCAAGCTAAAACAGGCTAAGAAGAAAACCTAATTGAAACAAAGTGGCCTTTTCAAATGCCACTGAATTATTTAAACCAAACAACTAAAAATTTATTTGATTGGATGGCCTTATTTTTCTTTTTAATGTAAAAAGTTTATCAGTGGGTGAATGTCAATCATAGCAGGGATTAGTGATTGTGAGGATTGAGAATTAATTTATTTAAAGCACTCAGAATAGCCCCTGCAGAGAGTAAAGACTATTTGAATATGCATGTATTATGATTATGATTATGATTGTCAAATCTGTTATTATTTATTTAAATATTACAGTAATGCTCAATTACGAGTCCCTCGTATAGAGAATTAAAAAAATAAAGTAGTGCATCTACTCTCCATAAGGCAATTAGAGGATTACTACAGAAGCTTTAAAAATAAATGAAACACAGTCTAGAAAGATGGTGTTTTCTAAAGCTGTGAAGCCCTGGTTTGCTGTTGCCACCAGAGATGCTGCTGACAGTGAGCCAGGACTTCTGGAGCACCACGCAGTGTTTGTAGCCCAGGACAGGATACACAGAAACCTTCTGATTTCAGGCAGTTCTGTTGCTCATTTAATTCCTATGTTGCAGTGGCCTGAGAGTCTGTGAATATCAAGAAAAGAAAATCAGAGAGGCTCTGTACAAAGTTAGAGAACAGTCCATAAGATGACTCTCTTCTGACACCAACTGCAGAATCTGGGAGTTCCAAAGACTGCCCTCAGGTTTGCTAGTTCCCTAGAAGGATTCACAGAACTCATGGAAAGCTGTTATACTCACGGTTACAGTTTATTACAGTGAAAAGATACAGATTAAAAATCAGCCAAGGGCAGAGACTCATGGGGCAGAATCCAAGAAAGTTCGAAACAAGGAGCTTCCAGTTGTCCTTTCCTCACAGAGTCATGAACAGTGTTACTTTTCTGGTGACGATGCGTGAAAATACACATGGAGTACTGTCACCTAGGGAAGTTCACCTAAGGCTTGTTTCCATGGTTTTTCTTGGGGTTCAGTTATGGAGTTGACTGCCCAAGTGGCTGACCTTGAGTCTCCAGTCCCTATGGAGGTAGAGCTGACACCTTTCATCTCCAGCCCCCCTTGAGATAGTGGATACCATATGGCACAAAACCCCCATCATGTCACATCCTTAGAATGTCTGGTGTGGTCCAAAGCCCCCAGGTTAATAAACACATTCTTTCTCGAATGTCTGGTAAGGAGAAGAGTTGGTCCTGATCCCTCAAGAGATGTCACGAAATACGTGTTTTATTGCCTCCTCTTAAGTAGTTATCACGTTTTGATGATAACTCCCAATGTTTTATCAGTAGAGAAACGATGGAAGTGTGTGGCTTCAGCTTTTTAGCATGTATTCAAAGTTTAATATTTTGGTTCTCATGCAGGAACCTGAGAACCAACACAGCCTTTGAACCGTGTTTGTCTTTTATATATTACCCTTGCCCTTATGCATCAATATTGCCTGTTTTCTTCCCCTAAACAGCATCACCTTCTTCTCTGCTCTCCCCACCACTGGTTTAGAGGGTACAAATGTTAATTAGAAAATAATACATCAAAATAAAATAATTTTTTTTTTACCAAAAACAGGCTTGATGAATGACTTGACTCAAAATTGTTAGCACTGAATTATTCGAGCTGAAAGTTTCTGCTTTACCTTGTTCCACTCACTTATTCACCCAGAGTGTATTAATCTCCTGTGAAGTGCCAGGTACTGAGAGGTGCACGAATATAACGGCAATATATCTCCTCCCTACAGTGGGGAACTTTGTAAAAATACACATGACCTCTCTTCTTTCTTCTTTCCTCCTTACTTTCCTGTGTTCTGTTAGTCTTTAGGATGGGGCAGGAAGTGCCGGGAAGGTGAATCTGTATATACAAAGAGGTTTCTAAATGATCCACTCACCTCCTCTCCAACCACCATTAAGAACTGCTCTCAGTGGTTTACAATATGAAGGAGGCAGACGAGATAAATAAATGATTACACCCTCCAGGTGAAATACTAATCGGGTACGTTCAAAATATTACTAAATATGTTAGAGTGTTTGGCTCACATTGTCAGAGTGAAGAGGCAAAGTAGAGGAATGGATTCTCTATTAGACAGATTTCCCAGGAGATAACAGATATTCTGGAAAAATAATTTCAAAGAGAACTGAAAGGAGAAAAAGATGTATTCAGTTGCTTTTTAAGGTAGCAAGTTTTTTTTCTTCTTCCTTTTTTTGGTCCTATGAGTTGATGCTTGTCAGGCACTTGGCATGGGTCATGCCATGATTAAATTGAACGGTGAATTATTGATAGTGATGGGTGTTCTGACTATGGACTGACATAGGTTTAGAGGAGAATAAAATTAATAGAAACACAATGGTAGAAAATTTGAAAATACAATCATTAATTGTATAACAACATTCATAGGCATTTTACTGTAAGCAGAAAAATAAGCCTTTTTTCTTTTTCATTAAAAAGAAATCTATATAGATGTGGCCTGGAGAGGATGAAAGTGTCGGTTTTTACATTTAAGGATTTGTGCTTTATGAGCCTTGATACATTAATGCTTCCTCTGGGGCTCTTCTGGACGAGCACATTGCACAGGTGGCCCATTGAATTTATAGACACAATAACTGAACGGGAGAAATAAGAGGCCAGAGCATTTGTGGCACATGGGATGCAGCTGGCTTGGCCACTTAACAGCCGACATAAGTTTTATGTGACACAGCTACTTACTGAAACACAGGAGACACTCTTTTTCCTGGGACCACAACCTACTGTTTTTTTCCCTCTTCCCTTCCCCCAGCACAGACCTGGGAAGGCCCTGAGAGCTGCTTTGTCAAACTCTGAAACAAGCAAATTAATTTACAATAATTTATAACATTCTAGAACTCCTTGAAACGAACATCTGTTAAATGCAACTTCATTTTGTAACATTCTAAAACTCGGATGAGTTAAACAGTTAACTTGTTTAACTTGGGCTCAGAAACCTGGAAAAAGTAAAGCGCTTGTGTCTGAGGAAAGTTTGAAAAAGCCAGAGAACTAGCTTTTACAAATTAAAGTGGTTGTTTTATCGTCTAAATTATAAACACCACTTGGGAGTGGGGGATAGCGTGCTTTGACGAGAATATCCTCAAGACCACGGGGATGTCTATTGCCAAACATGCTGGAGAATAAAAAGGAAAATGATAAATACAGACACACACACAGTCTAAAACGTAAAAGATATAGAATTAGTTATTGGCAAATACTTCTAAAGATTCCTCGTCAGTTTAATTTAACTGGTGCCGTACTCAACGCTCAGGCCCTTTCACGCCCCACTATTTCCTATCTGCTCTGAGAGATATGGGTCCTGGAAAGAGAGAAGAAATATGAAAACAGGAGAGAAACGAAAAAAGTTAGAGAAAAAGTGAGATATGAAGCAAGTGTAAATGAGAAGTAGGGAATGGTAGAGAGGAAAGAGGCAAAAATATTATTTTCCTTACCTTTGCATATTATTTGTGGGCAAGAAAATTTATTAAGATAGTAATTTATTTTTTGCTTTTTCTCTGTTATTTTTCCCCAGGTTCAACTTATAGCCACGCTCTGGTGCCCTCAAGAAGTTTGTTTAGAGGGCAAAAGTAGAAGGTATCTATAAAAAACCTGTGTCTTTGGATTTTGTTTGCTAGAAGCTTGAGTTCTTTGAGGAGAAGGAGGTGGGAACGTGGACGTTCCTTGAGGCTGGGGTGGGCCTGGAACCCATCTGCTTCCCAACTGGGAGGGGGAAAGTCCTCAGAGGGCAAGGCCCTCAAGATAGGCCCCAGAGGTGAGCTGGTGGCCTCTGGTTTCCAGCCTCAGGCAAGATTTTCTTCTGTTACCTGTGGCAGAAGAGCAGCAGCTGCGGGGGCCTCATGTGAACTTGGACAAGGGACATCTCTGCACCACGCTATTCAGAAAGAAGCCCAGAGGAGTCTTCCAGATGTGCTGACCCTGGGCTTCTGCACCACTGCAACACCTGTATGGAGTAAGGAACCCCCCAGCTATAACGAGGGAAGAGCTCTGCCCTCCGAGGGGAGGAGAGTTCAGACAGGGCGTGCGCTTCACCTCCCTCTCTGCTACGTTTGGTTTGTGGGCTTGGAATTTCCTTTTTCAATAACTCCCAAGTCTATCTGACCCACTTCTGTTGTTTCATTCATAGCAGAGAGAGACATCCACAGGTATTTTTCTCTCTCTCTATATGCATGCATTCAGTTATTTTAACCTGCCTTTTCCCACAGAGGGTTTTAGACAATGTAGACAATTTGCTTGGGAATATTATCATTTCAATGATAATCTCCTTTCCACACTGAACAATAAAATATAGCTCCAACAATATTGTGGACCAACTGATTTGAGACAAGAGCTAAATTTAAGTTTATCCATTGTTAAAGACAAATAGTCTATTTAAAAATTAAGAATATAACAGATGTGGATTGGATATTTGATATTTTCATGAGCCAACGTGATGCAGCAGATAATGAACTTGAGCTCTGAAGCATACCTGAGATTCAGCCCTAGCTTTTCGTAATGCTATCTGCATAATATTGGGCAGGTTGCGTAGTTTACTTTCACCTCTGCTGCGTAGGGTTGTTGTGAGGATTGACTATAAATGTGGGGTGAAGCACTTGAACAGGGCCTGGCACAGACTTGCTGTTTAATGTTTAATAACACTAGCTGGTTTGCTTGCAACTAAGCAGTCCTGCTTTCAAAAACTTAGAATAGACCCAGGTGAGGCAAACAATTGATATGTTCATAGCAAGTCATGATCTTTGGTTCATTTGACTCCTAAGAATCCCTAACAGAATGCATCTTAGTGTTGTTGCTACGTGTATCCAGAGAAATAAACCTATAATTCCTTGGGATGTTTTATGATTCAAATGATTTACTACTTCAAATTGGTATTTCTTTAGACCTACAATGAAAAAGGACATGTTTTCATTCAATGAAAATACGCTGGCATGATATGTGTTGGCTTGCTTTGTCCAAAAGTAGTAAGGGATTGCACTAAATGATTAACATAGTTTTTCCTGTAACTTTCATGTATTTGTGTGTGTGTGTTTGCCTGTATGCACGTGCACATGTGCCCACATTCATACACCTAAAGACCCTAAAGTTACTTAATCTCAGTACTTTAATGGATGTTGATGTTATCGCATTGGCCTCGTAAGCACTGTTTGCCAATTTAAAAACTACCCAGTTTGGACTACAGAGAGTCCATGACAGGATTGGGTAATGCAATTTTAGAGCATTTTAATGTAACACATGACACAGGCTTATAGAAATCATTTTTCTTAAGGTGCATCCTATAAGGGACATTGCTTACTTGTTTATGGGTTTTTTTAAAGTATAATCTTGAATTGAATAATAATATAACTTTTACCTCATTCAAGATATTTATTAGAAAGAGATATTTTTACTTGGAAGTTTATTATAGCTCATAAAAATGATTAGCTAAGAATAACTGAACATGTACAATGAAGTGAGCAATGTACACTGTTAATTAACAGTTAAATTAATGGGACCATATAGTTCACAAAATACAGATAACCAACAGGGTGGTTAAGATGGTCCTTGCTCACTAAAAATGGGTGGATGCCTTGGCCAGATGGCGATGGCAGTGTGGGCTCCTCACTGACTGGTCTGCGTCAGAATCTTGGTTTCCTCACATAAGAATTAAACATAGATTGTGGAGAATTCTGTTTCTCCTGCAAGTGTTCCAAGTTCTATCTTTAACATTCTCTCTTTGCTTCCTGTAATCCTGCAGATCCAGGCAAAGGCTGGACCATCAGAGGGGCTCTGATGTTGCATGCTGTGTGTGAAGCATCTTCTGTTTCACCCTGGCAGTCATGATTCTCTTTGAGCCGCAGTTTGTTTTCTGTCTCTGGAAGTTCATGGCAGAGGTGGGCGGGACTCAGCAGGTTCTAGGTCAGGTTTTTACTGAAAAAGTGTTTTACTTTCTCTTGAAAAAGTCATGGAGGGCAAACAGGGGTTGAGATGCAAGATCACAAAGTAAATTGTTTCAGTTGCACACATTGCCCCAAATGTGTCCTTAAGTCTCATAGAGGAGGCTTAGTTTGTGGCAGCAGAAGGAATGACTCAAAAAGGTCAATGTCCAAAAGATTTTTTTATAGAGATTTACTAATCTAGAAAATACATTATTCCAACAGCGGGAATATTTGATTGCAAAGAATAATTCATTGATTAGCCCTACTTAAAAAAGAGAACTTAGTTATCGAGCAGAGTCAAATAACAGGTTTTTCTGACTTCTAAGAACTTATCCCCAAACAATTAAGAGCATATGCAAGGACTTGACCATATCAACTTGATTACTGTAGCTTTATATTATTTTTCACCAGCTGATAGAACAAATTTCCAAACATCATTCTTTTTTTTTTTTGAGGAAGATTAGCCCTGAGCCATCATCTGCCGCCAATCCTCCTCTTTTTTGCTGAGGAAGACTGCACCTGAGCTAACATCTGTGCCCATCTTCCTCTACTTTACATGTGGGACGCCTACCACAGCATGGTTTACCAAGCGGTGCCATGTCCACACCCGGGATCTGAACCAGCGAACCCTGGGCCGCCAAAGCAGAATGTGTGCACTTAACTGCTGAGCCACTGGAACGGCCCCCAAACATCATTCTTTTTAAAAAATGTCAATTATTATGTATTTATTCATTCAGAAAATCTATAACTTTGTCAGATCCCCTCACCTTCATCCCAAACTATATTTTTATTTGAATAACGTTAAATATACAAATACATGTCAGAGAACTAAATCAGTACAATTTTTAGTTTTCATCTAAGAATATTGAATTATTCTTTAACTTTAAGGAAGGACATTATATCTAGGGATGTTCAATTTCATATTTGAAGTTTGGGCTCATTTTTATGTCTATCAAGATAATGTTTAATCTTATTTTAACCATCCACCTATTTTATATTAGGTGTGTAACCCAATCTGCTTAGCTTCAACAGTTTTGACGAGGATGTCTTTACGTGTTCTGCAAAATAATTGTTAAAAGTGTTAGCAGGACAGAGCCATGGATACAAAGTCATATGATGTATGAAATTTAGTGGCAAAGATTTGGGATCTATTTAAGAGGTTCAAGTAATCTCTAACTCTGTTTAACGTAAAAACTATATTTTTAACAAAGAATTTAATTAAAAAATTATTTAAAATCATTCATGACACATTTGAAGATCTTTATTGTCTCTATATATCATTTATATGCTAATGATTTTTATACCATTCATGTATTAAAGTGTTGATTATTGAGGTTAATGGTTGGCAGAATGCACAATAAACAGGTTTTACTTCCTAAATACAGCGTGAAATATCACTCCTCCCCCACAAACAATCCCCACATTCCTCTGCTCCCTTTCCAAAATCTCATTCTCACTCAAAGACCCTAACCAAATCTCTCTGTGTGTCTGTTCCTGCTTGTCCAGTTTGTCCGATATTTGGCACAGTTGCTGAGGCAATGAAAATCGACTTTGACTAATTATTAAGGATCCTAAGTCTTGCCATGAAGAAGGGATAAGGAACCACTCTGTTGCCCTCAACCTTGAACCTGGTGTTCAGTAGCTGAGCCCTAATAGCCCACCAGCTTGCCTCTTCCCAGCCACTCCATGTGGATCTGTGACTACTAGTTTATAGTCCAAATATCCAAAAGGAAATCTTGCCCTGAACACCGGGCTGATTTGTGCTACCCTCACTGCCCCTTTATTTCTGAGAAGTTGCGGTCAAATGTAACACCCAGCCACGCCCACTGAGACATTGCCTCATCCCATCTTCTGCTTCTACCCCTGGTGCAAGATACTTCTTGCCACAGATAGGTACTGCCACTTTCCAGATTCACTTCATTAGGACCCTGCCTTCTAGAGGGCACTTTGCATGTTGTGAGCTTGAGTGGAACCCCAGTTCATGAGCCCCCTGTCAGGCATTTAGTTTGGATTGTTGGTAATTCTGCTTGGGTCCAGCTCCAAAGTCATTTCGCTTTTCACAGATTGCCAATGATCTCAGTTCCAAACATTTGCTTTTTCCTGCCAGCCTGGTGTTCAGGTGGCCGTAGACATTTTATCTGAGGCTATGAAGATCAAGAAATTATCATGTGTTCCTGGACAATTCTTACTTACTTATTAATTTTTTTTTCATGCAGTTGGCAATTTAATTCCAAACTTCTGAATGGCAGGAATTATGCATTATTATATCTCTCACTGTAGTACTAACCATATTTTTTGGGAAAAGATCCAGATACATTATTTGATAAATTCTAGTATTTGTATAGGGTCAGATACATTATTTAATAAATTCTAGTATTTGTATAGGGTCAGAGCATGGATTATTTGAAATAGGACCTGATATTGTATTCTGAGTACTATGTTTATCTTATTTTTAGCATCGTTTTTTGCACATAGTATTCAAAATTTGTTTCTTGGTTAATATATATGAACGGTATATGAAATGCATTGTTGGAGGAAGCATTTTTTAAAGAAGATTGTTTAAAATCATTATTATTCTCAGGGAACTTTTGAATGAATTACTCCATTGAAATTTTTCTGAAAATTCTTAGCTTTCATATGCTGTGTCAGGGCAACCTTTCCCACTCTGTGCATAGAATAGTCTTTTCAATACAGCACCTGAAGGGGTCACTCAAGCACAGGACAAATACTCTTGGTGGCATAGGCTCTTGATTTCAATAGCAAAATGTCTTTAAGTGGTGGTAGAAACATTTTGTCACTTCTGAGGGACAGAGCAGTTGAATTCTTTCTGGAAATAAAGGTTGTTTTCCTAATGAGTGCATTCAAACTTAAGAATTTAAGGGATGTTCTTCTTGCCAATTCTGAAAAGTTTTTATTTCCCTGATGTTTTCCTAGAAGCTTGTTTTAAGGATAGGAATGAAACCCAGAACACAGAAGTCTTAGAGAGATTAGACTTCAAAAGGGTTTGAAGGAAATGAGGGCAGGGTCTTTTCAGACTTCT